AAGCCTTTGTCTTCTCCATTCTTACATGATAAAAACAAAAAATTAAATTAAATTAAATTAAATTAAATTAAAAATAATAATAATAATGGGATTTTTAGGGTGGACTGCATTTAAAAACATCAGTTTGGAGCGGGAAAAGATGAAAATACCATTGATGGACATTGGAGACAAAATAAAATTAAAAAAAAAGGGGTCTATTAAATGTTGATCAATTAATTGTTGAGGTTATGATCAAACTAATTTCATGAGTGTTTGGGTTTTTTGGGAAAACAATTTATGACGTAGAAAAGAAAGATTGAAATCAAGCTATCAAAAACATGGAATGGAGAATTACCAATTTGGTCTGGGGTTCACGTATCTTTGCGACGCACACTGTTGCCGGCCGTCGCCACTGCCACGGCCTCTCACTGAGACTTTCATTGCCACACTTAAAATGTAGAGCAAAGTTGCATTCAGAGTGAGCGCATTTAATACTTAGATCTTTGCAAGGACGACCACAGTAACTACACTTCAGATAGGGATATTTCTCACTCTGGAAATATATGAGAAGTCGTTTATGAGAATCACATCTACTATTATAATCGTCAAAATCATAGATGCTACCGCGCTTGATGAATGGGTATTTTCCAAGAACGCAATCGGGATGAGCATCAAAATCGCACTCATCACACCGATAAAACCAGAGCTTTGGATCTCTTCTATCTTCACAGATTTCACACATGTGTTGAAATGGATCACCATCATCATCCTTGTAAGGATCTTCATAAGTGAGTTTTAGAGGGTGATGGTGGAACCTATGTTTAGCTGTAAGGGGCCGTGTCAGGCATCTGTAGTCCAAGGCAAAAGATTTGCAATTCTTCTCTTCCTCTGCTAGCGTGCATTTGTAACCACCATATTTATCCATTTCCTTACCGCAGCCACTACATGGTCCCTTGTGATTTTCATCACAGAAGAGGAAGTGCTGAGCATGTGCTTCATGCTGAGTGGTGAAATCGATCTCACTACATCTGTGGCAAATTTCCCTCTCTTTACCATCAACTCCTCTCCAGATGGAACGAAAACCGCTGCGTACATACTCACAAAATCGACACTCAAAATGGGACTCCATGGTAACTCGAACAGGACCTCGGGAAGCCCAATGTGGTTTGTCCTCTCCAATTTGGGCACATGCCTTGCAAAGGGATAAATTACACTCTGGTTGTGGACAACTATAAGCGGCCTCCAAGATCGGTAATGCACACCCATTGCAACATTTTTTATCACCATTTGCAATAATCTCCTCATTATCAAGCACTAATTCATGCCAGTGGCTGAAATGATCTATCTTGTCACTACTTGAAGAAGAAGAAGCCTCATCACAACTTGAAGAAGAAGAAGAAGAAGCCTCATCACTTTCCTCATTTTCTGACTCAACTTCGATATAAAGACGACCTTCATCCCTTTTTACGCAACTTCCATGAAGAACATAATTACAGTCTGAGTGCGAACATTTGTAACTCCCATACTCTGCCAACACCTTTTTGAAACAAAATTTACAGGTCCATTTTTCAACCTCTTTTTGTGGAAGACTGTACTTGTGGCGAAGTATATGATGATTGTGCAGTTTGAATTTGATGAATTTTGGCAGGAAAATACAATCCTTATGGATCATGATGCTGCACGTGGAACAAACATAGCGAGCACCATCTCCTTCCGCCCCACATGCATCGCATTTGAAGGAATTTTTCCTTATGAATGGGCTCAACTGGTGGTCATGGATCTTACTTTTTTGGAAGAACTTGGGTAAGGTACACTCACGATGAATATAAAAGTCACAAGGGAGGCATTCATATCCAAATTTCTTCACATCACTTTGAGCTCGGCCAATGAGATCTTGGCAAAAGTTGCAGGTATTCTTTGCCGAAAATACAAGAGTAAGAGGGTGTTGAGGGTGGGCAACATGCTCAATCTGAGGCCGTAACTCTGCCTCACATTCTTCGTGAAGGCAAAATCCACAATCAATACAATCGTAGAAAGAAGTGCCTAGTAATGGTTTTGGGCAAACAGAGCAGGAAGAATTTATTTTAACTTCGTTGCTAAGCATTTGGACAAAGACAAGTGGGTGTTCAACATGGCTAAAATGATGATCATGTTTTGGGAGATCTTTGGGGATGAGCAAAGCACATCGGGGATGAAGCTGGAACTCACAAGAAGAACAGCTGTAACTATATGCATTGATAAAATAATGACAAAATTTACATGCTGGTCTATTCCACCATCCGGGGCTTCTGCTTTTTATGAGAGTGAGAGCATGTTTATCATGGAGAGAGTGATTAATTTCCAAAGGTAGCTCTTCTAATGCACATGATTTATGAAGGAAAAATTGACATTCTGGGCAATAGTAAAAAGAATTTCCTAATAATGATTCTGAGCAAACAAAGCAATAAGAATATAGTCGTTCAACTTTATTGCTGCTAATAAGGTCCTTTTGGATGAAGAAGAGTGGGTGTTCATCAACATGACTAAAATGATGATCACGTTTTGGGAAATTTTCAGTGACGAATTGTGGGAGAAAGGCACATCTCATGTGAAGGTTGAAACGACAAGAAGAACAATGGTAAAACAATCCTACAGGATAACGAATATTATAATCACAAAATTGACAAAATACAAATTCGCCAACCCATTTAAGAAGGGTAAGAGTAAGAGTGTGTTTCTCATGGAAGGGGTGATCGATGTTCAATGGTAGCTCAGTCTCAGAACATGATTTATGAAGGAAGAGATTACAAACAACACAAGTGTAAAAGGAAGCATTCGATAACTGCTCTAAGCAAACACTGCAATAGCGGGAAGAAGCTAGTTCAACTCCACGGTGGCTAAGATTTTCGATGAAGGAGAGTGGGTGTTCAACATGAATGTGATGATCAACTTTTGGAAAATCTCCATTAAGGAATTCTGGGAGCAAGGCACATTTGATGTCAAGGTCAAATTTACAAGATGAACAGTGGTAAACAAATCCTTTGAGGCTGCGACCACAAAAACAACAAAAAGACCAGTATGGTGCTCTGGCTAAAAGAGTGAGAGGATGATTATCATGAAAAGGGTGAGTGATGTTCAATTGTAGCTCAGAACATGATTTATGAAGAAAAAACTCACAGTCGATGCATGCATAGAACTGAGCTGAGATTGGCTGCCCACACCCTGATGAGCAATTTACACCTCTAGTCTCACCGTGGACATTATAGCTCCACTCTTCAAAGAAGTGCAGTGGATGTTCATGAAGAAAGTATTTGGGCTCCATCCGCTCTCTCTCTCTCTCTATATATATATATCAGAATGCAGATATGTGAGACAACAGCAAGTGAGATGGGAAATATAAGTTGTTGAAAACTAGCTAGCTAGCTTCAGGTGAGGATGAGGTTCCCATTAAAGCAAGGAGCACCACCGTATTTATAAACTTTAAAAAACTACTTACAGCACTGTTGTGTGTGTGTGACAAAAGGAATTGCGTCAAATTAGAGTCTCTTTTTTTGTCTGCCGATGCTTACAGGTTTGGGTTATTCCCAGGCACTATTGTAACTAACTTCTTTATGTATTCTTTATTTTCACCAATAAAAAAAGGAGAAAAAACCCAAAAATCGTGTACATTCGGTCATACCATAAAATAAAATTAAGAGAGGAAAAATTCTAAATTTGAATTACATGTTATGAAACTCAAGTAAAAAATGAAAAATAATTATTTTTTATTATGTAACTAAAATAAAAAAAAAGTGATTAAGAAAGAAAAATATAAAAGAAAAGAAAATGATGTTAAATTAAAATTTTACATTGTTCTTAATACTTCATAACAAATATTTAGTATAACAAAGATTTAAACTTTTAATTTTGATATCAAATTAAAATTTTATATATAATGTATATTTATTCAATTACATTCTCGATGGTGTCAAGGTCAAAAGAAAACGATAAAAGGAACTATATTGTCATTTTTAAAAGGTTAATTAAAGAATGTTCAATTTTAAAGGTTAGGGATAAATGAGCAAGAGAAATAAAGGTTGATTTATTCTTCAATAACTAATTATCTCTTGGGCACCAAAAAAGTAAAACTAATTATGTCTTACTTATTTTG